AAAGCCTAAACCCTATAAACCTATAAACCCCAAGAAACCCTAAACCCTACAAACCCTATAAGCCCTATAGACCCCAAAGTCCCCCCAAACCCGCCCCCTCCCCCCGCCCATGTGATCGAAGCAGATCCACTCGCTCTCGGGGAACACCTGCTCCAAGGGCCAAGGGTCAGAGAAGGCTGGGTTTTTTAGGGTTCAGGGTTTGGGGTTTTAGGGTTAAGGGTTTAGGGCTTTAGGGTTTAGGGTTTTAGGGTTTAGGGTTTTAGGGTTCAGGGTTTAGGGTTTTAGGGTTTAGGGTTATAGGGTCCAGGGTTTCGGGTTTTAGGCTTTAGGGCTTCAGGATTTTAGGGTTTAGGGTTTATAGGGCTTATAAGGCTTATAGGGCTTATAGGGCTTTAGGGTTTTAGGGTTTAGGGTTTCAGGGTTTAGGGTTTAGGGCTTAGGGCTTGTAGGGGTATAGGGTTCAGGGCTTTAGGGTTGTAGGGCTTAGGTTTTAGGGCTTCGGGATCAGAGAGGATCAGGGTTTACTTAAGGGGCTTAGGGTTTAATTGTTTGAGACATCGGAGGTTCAGGGGCCCCGGGCCTTCAAGGGTTTACGATTTAGGATACGTTTGGTATTCCCTAAGACTCAATATAGGGATCTGAACAATCGGTAACCCTAAGGAAGGCGGCTGCTCATCACGCACGCCCCTTTCTTAGTGGGGCGTTTGGGATCTTAGACTTAGCGTTTCGGGCATGCTTTTCAGGGCAGTAGAGGATGACAGTGTTTGATTGAAATCAGGACTGATACGAATTTTATGTGGTCTTCTAAGGGCTCCGGGATCCATGAACTTCGGACTCCGGCGGCTGGCACCTCTTAGCTGATGTAAGGTTTAGGGCGTGGGGTTTAGAGTTTAGGGTTTAGGGTTTAGAGGCTCGTTGAGATAGCCATCGCGACTTGAGAACGGGAACACCAGCACGGACGGGCTCCGCCGACGCAAAACCCAAACGGCACCCTCAACCGTGAGTCGCTAAGCCCGGAGTCCGAAAACAGGAAGCCACTGAACCTCGAACTCTTAGCCCCTAAACCCTTTAACCAAAATCCGTAACAGTTAACCTGAACCCCCAAACCCTGAAATTGCGAAGCGCTACACCTTGCGCAGCACACTTCGACAAAAAACATCCCACTTCATGACATGCATACGAGCACACCGTCATAAAGATACTTCGTTGTCACACATTCCTGCTCTTACAAGAAACTGCTGCCATATTCTACCAAAGAAACCGGTCCTTCAGTCTCATACATTCTCACTGTTGCAGACACAAGAACTCTAAACGCCCGATTCGAAGCGCGGGCAAAACGAGCGCCAGCTTGAATTCTGCCCGGTACTGGGCGACTTGGGATACCGCTAGGTATATTGTTATATTATTCTATATTATTCTGTTGGGATTAGCAAACACTAGAATCGGGAGTTCAGGATGCGTCAAGGAACGCGCAGCTAGTATAATATCGTGGCCTTTACTATTGGAAAAATGTTCTGGGTTATATTATAATATACTTACAGTAGTCAGTAGTAAACCTAGGGAATTGTGTTGGTACTTCTTCAGGCTTCTACATTACCCAAGACTGCATTCTCAGCCTCCAACATCTAGAAGGCATGACCCAGCCCTGTAAACCCACAAATCGACATCCCAGTCTGGCCAACCCCCACAAACTGCTAGACCTGACCTGCACCCGAATGCTCAAGTTTAGGCTTTACGGTTTAGGGTTTAGGGTTTAGGGCTTAGGGATACACTTAAAGCCCATGTCCTGAATTCCTAAAACCGAGACGCTCCCAAAACCATGGCATGGTCTGGCCGGCAAGGGAGCCTTAAAAGGTGCTGAGCCCTGGCACCAGGGAAATCCCTGCCTGAGCACGGCTTGCAGGAAAGGGAGGAGGTGGGGTTCCTACGGTCTAAGGCTTCGGTTTCAGGGTTCGGGTTTCAAGTTTAGGGTTTAGGGCTCAGGAAAAGGAAAGATCAACAGGGATATCACGAAAAGACTCCCCCTGTAGATTCTGCGCTCAGGGGTGAAAGAGTTCTGGTACAAACCGACGAGAGCAAGGTCCCAGGGAGGGAGCTGTTAAATCAAGAACCCCAATCCCAAAGCATACTAAGCCTCTTCATGGTGACGGCTAGATCTACTCTACGACCCTAGACCCATTTAACGCCTAAGCCCCAAAACTGCCTAAACTCTTGAAACCCTTATATAAACCCTAAACCCCTTACATCTTAAATTCCTAAACCACCCAAAATCCTAAACTCTGCAAACCCCAAACCCTTAAGCCTCTACAGGGCCTAAACGCAAACTTACAAACCCTTGAAATAAGTATCCCTTAACGTACCCCCCTATAGAAGCATCCCGTAAAGAACCCCTGACCCTAAACCCTACACCCTAAACCCCTAACCCAACAGCCCCCTTCCAAACCGCTTCAATTCAAGGCCCGCGCCGGCCGCCATCGAACACGGGACCTCGAAAAGCAAAAAAAACAACACGTCGGGAGCTTGGGGTTCAGTAGGAATTTTACGGTTTAGGGTTTCGGGTTTACGGTTTAGGGTTTGGGGTTCACTAGGGTATAGAAGGGTTTAGTGTTTAGCAACTTCAGGAGCTTGGGTTTACAAGGATTATGATGGTTTACGGTTTAAGTTTAGGGTTTAGGGTTGTTTATCTGTCTAGGAATTAGGGGGGGCTTAAGATGAGTGGCATGAATTTTTGCAGGGCTGATTACGGAGTGTCTTCGTCTGATTGTTGCAGGATTTTGGAATTAGGTTCAGACCAGGGATTCGAGGGCTGCTGAAACCCAAGCGCCTAAAACGCGTATATTGCGACCTGCAACCCTGAGCCACCAAAAAAAGGGTGACACACAAATCCGGGAAGGCCAGAACATCCTCAAAGAGTTGCAGAACATCTGAATTCCTTGAATCAGTCTACGTAAAACCTCTCATAAACCCAAAACTTCCCTGGGGCCCTAAACTTCCTAAACCCTAAACTCCCTAAACCCTATAAACCCTAAACCCTAAACCCTAAACCCTAAACCCTTTAAACCCTTTAAACCCTATAAACCCTAAACCCTAGACCCTAGACCCTAAACCCTAAACCCTAAACCCTAAACCCTAAACTCCCTAAACTCCCTAAACCCTATAAACACTAAACCCTTTAGGGCAATGAATCCTCCGAGCCAACGAGTCCCCTGCGCAAGGCTTTGTCGGTGTCCTGCTCGTGACCGCCACAGAAGCCTGCGCTGCCTCCCGGACCGTCCTGGCATGCATCAGGGTTTAGGGTTTAGGATTTAGGGTTTAGGATTTAGGGTTTAGGGTTTAGGGCTTCCAGCTTCCCAGACCCGCCTGAAAATCCGGAAAGTAGAACCCCTAATTTAGGAACCTATACTGCTAAAGGGTACTTTGCAGGAACCTTATTAAGGGATCTACTTTTTGGATCCTCCCAGGGGTCTGGGTTCCGGGCTTGGGATACTCAGAGTTTTGTTGGGCTTCCTACACGGTATCCATAGAGCTTAGTATAGCTATCATGCATGAAGGTTACAAGGCTAAGAAACCCTAAACCCTAAACCCTAAAACCCTAAACCCTAACCCTAAACCTAAAACCCTAAACCCTAAAGGGCTGCGAGCTCCCAATGGCAAAAGAAGTCAAATCCGGCTCCTCGCAGAGGTAGCGCCCGCCACAGAGTCGCTCCTCTCCAGTAAAGGGCCACGACCAACACCTCAGAACGGTTGAGGGTTTAGGGGTTTAAAGGTTTAGGGTTTAGGGGTTTAAAGGTTTAGGGCTTAGGGCTT